GAGAGTGAGAGAAAAAGAGAGTCTTTGCGCCGAATACCAAACGGTCGGTGTCGAATCGGGAACAGATGGAGGAGCGTGACGACGAAACGATTTTCGATGGCTTCTCTGCCCGTGAACCAAATAAACCGATACGGCCGGCGAGCCGACCAGCCGTGGAAAAATCGTTGCCGCGGACACCGTCTGTGTCGACTCGGTCCGCGCCGCGATTTCAAGGATTAACCGCCGGCGATCTGAATGCCTCGAGACCGAGATCCGCGTCTCTAACCCTTTCAGGGTTAATCTGCGATACTGCTCGGATTAGGCGAGAATTCATCTCGGATTTGCGGGATGTGGGGGAACGGAAGGGAACCTCAAATTAATGGCGGAACCGATGATACATTTGCGGTGCTTCAAAGTAGATATCGTGGAAGATTGTAGTCATTTATGGTAATTATTCGTTTATTTACGGGAAAAACACTTTTGTAGAGAAAGAAGAAAAGTTTTCTTTGATTTAAAAGAAGTTAATAATGTTCGCGTTTAGATGATTCTGCTAAAGATCTCTTTTAGAAATCTGTCGCTGGAAATTTAAAGACACTAAAAAGCAAAGAAAATCTATATACAGGGTGCCCAAAAATGTCTCGCAATCCGAAAGTGGCGGGTTCCTCAAGTCATTTGAAGCAACTTTTTCCTTTACAAAACTTTTCTCCGAGGTACCATTAACGAGTTATTAACGAAAAGCAGTGACCAATGAGAGGCGAACTCAGCTGGCGCGAGGCGATCGAGTCAATGAGCGGGACTGGGCTTCGCGCGCTGGTTGGCTGGGCCGCCTCGCGTCAGCCGTACTCGATTCTTATTGATCACGGTTTTTCGTTAATAACTCCTTAACGGTGCCTCGGAGAAAATTTTTGTAAAGGAAGAAGTTGCTTCTAACGATCCGAGGAACCCGCCATTTTCGGATTGCGAGACATTTTTGGGACACCCTGTATATATCCAATGAGAACGCTAAAAATTCCTCGCTCTAGCAGCTAAACGCGTTCAAAAGCGCTATTTAATGTTTGATAACAGAGAAGCTGCTTCGCATTTCACGAATCGGCACGCGCCGCAAATGCGCAAAGATCCTCATTCTGGCGTATAACGCTAGAACAACGGAGCTTGATCTCCAACAAACGCTATCCCGCATTCCATGAATTTTCGAATGCGACGAATGCACGAAGATCCGCGCGGCCCGGCATGGACATTCGGGGCTGATCCAAGGCAAACAACGAAACCTTCCGACGTCGACGGTGCCAGCGGATTAATTAAAGATCGTGCGCGATCGAAATGGGCGGGGTTAATTACATTAGACCGGAAGCCCGTGTCAACGCCGTCCGTAAAAGTAAATCCGGAGAATACGTGTTCGATCGGTCGTCCCATTTCCTCGGAGCGTGTCCATCCGCCAAAATTTCGGGCAGCCGCCGCTCGCAACACGGAACGAATCTCGTCGCGATACAAAAACCCGCCGCCCCCGCAATGCCGTTTCCATCGGTTTGATCCCCGAGCGGGCCTGGCCGCGACCGAGGAGGCAAAAGTTTCCTCGTTTATCCTATCAAACCGCCGAACTCCCCGGAGAGACGAGGGGATCGGATTTCCTGGTTCTTCGCCGTCCATGCTCCTCGCAGTTTTATAGCGCGCGGGCGGCCGCTCATTCTCCCGCGGATTAACGAAACTAAGTGGCCGAGTATCTGGGTCAGCTTCCACACAAACCGGACAATCTAATCGGCCGACTTTCTTTCCGTCGTTGCCGTGATTGCGCCGGAACCCTTTCTCACCTTGGCCTTAAAACAACGTTCCACCTGTTCGACCGCGGAATCGCAAGCTTCGTGCAAGCCGCGAGCGGCGACGGTTCATTTGTCAAATATTTTAATGACAACCCGCCGGTTCTCGCATGACGCAGAAAACGCGAGGTTCGCGTTGTTCGCAAGGTATCCCGTCGGCACACGGGAACTATAGTTGCCGTGGATTCGATTAGGTGCTAGTTCCTTTTCCGCGATACAGTTCCTGGTTTCTGTGTATGTAGCCGAGCGAGCGCACTCTTCCTTCGTTAATTGAATATATAGTTGTCGAGGTCTGAAGTTTCGAAATTGTTGGCCGAGGATTCGGGATCGAATTAGCGTTTCACTCCTCGTTCCGTTGCAAATTATTTTTGCACGTGCAATTCGTCAGACGTACCCGTTAAGTACAATTTCAACGCGGATACAATCGTTGTAATTACAGTCGTTGGATATTTAATGAACGCAATTCTGAAAATGGTTCTGGATAATGCAACGGTCGCGAATAAATATAATAAATCTCGGTAGGTCAAATCTCATTGCGATCACCGGAATAAATTCGGTGAACGCCGTGAATAATTACGCGAACCCTTAAGTACTTTTGCGCCCTTAAAATAATACTAGTTCGATCTAGATATCGTCGTAAGCCGTTTAAAGATTCTATCAATCCACTCCCGTCTATCCGTTTCTAATCCTGGAAAGTAAAGCCGCCCTCTCTATTCGCTAGTCCGCTAAAATCGTTGGAATCCACTAAAAGAGTCGTTGCACTTTTGACGTCGCAATAGCAGAAACGCGACTGCGGAAAGAGAATTTCGCAGAGAGCGAATGGTAGAGCCACCTGCCAACGGGAATCTCAACCGAGCCGCTAAGGGGAATCTTTTCCGAGGATATCGAATTTTTGCAGCAATGCGATTCCCATAATGTTGCAGTCGGTGTAAGAAACATTCTGTCTCGACGATTTCGACTTAGTTCATCGATAGATACGGGTCCTTTAGCTCCCGCCGGAAGTCGACGGCGACGACGAGGACGAAAGGAACGGTAACGTCACAGAGGGAAACAGAAGGCTATAAAAATTCCAAGGCGGACGGTAGCCGAGTAATTGCATTCATCTTTCACGATGTACACACGGGATTGCATTCGGAAAGCAAATTCCTACGTGCGGGACCCTATTCCCGGCGATAAAAGGAGTGGATCCGACGATTTGTTTCGGGCGACTCGCGTGCCGGACGTGCCTTCGTCACCTGGCCGTGCCGAAATTAGTTAATTAACGAGCGAGATCGACGACGACGCCGGTCCGGGGCCATCGTTCAACTCCGCCGGAATTTTCGGAAAAGTAAAAAAGGGATGCGCGAAGGAATTTAATTAAAGTCGGACATCGATGCTTCGCATTGGCTACAATTTATCGTCAGCGATTAAACCTGCGAAATGTCTCTTTTTAATTAGCTGGCTTGGGGAACTATGAATCTTTCACGAATATCGCTTTCTCGTTTGCCGGATTCGAATTTTTCATCTGGCAGCGGACAAATAGTTCGGAGACTGACAAGGGTGGTTTCCCAGAGATGTCCAATTAGGCGTGCGATTGTACGCCTGTACGAAAATATATTTATTTTCTTGCTTGTAATTGGACTGCGGATTTTTACGCGAAATAAAAATGGCTCGCATTAATTGCAAGATGAAAAAAACTGCGTAGACATTTATTTATTTCACTAATTGTGTTATCGAGTTCGAAACAATGCAACAGTATTTCGAAATTCTTTAAATGTTTTGCACTCGATCTACTCAGTTTTGTCATAAATGCGTAAAATCCGCAGGCTACGTTCAATATATTTTCATTTTACATTGTTCTACATATATTGCATATATGTATAATAATACAGTTACTTCATATACATGACAATGTGCATGTTAATGCATTCCTAATTTGCTAGCTGATGTAGAAATACCAAATTAATAGGATCAAACGCAATTCGAACTTCGCGAGGGATGGATAAAAAACATGTTCAACATTAGAATCGAGAACCAAGCTTCCCTTTTCTATTTCAATTACCTATACTACTCGCGCGACTGTTGAAAATCCCTCAAAGTAAATGGAATTACAAGGAAAATGGATACTTTCCCTGAGACTGAAGCAAAGTCCTATGTTTTGAGCATAAATCGTGAAATGGGCCATTCGGAGGTCGCCGGTTTCAAAAGAATAGCTGAAGGCTGCTATTTTTGCATCAAGAAACTCGGTAAATCATTTATCGCCCTATATAAGATACTAAAAAGTGCACTGTTCAAATAAACAGTTTTCTTATCCCATATTTTCCTAGCCGAAGCTTCCATGAACTCACAGTTGACGAGGAAAGTCTCTCAGGTTGCATAAATATTAACCAGTTAGCTGTTATAATCACTATAAAAAGTGCGTCAGTTATTGTAATTATACCGTACACGTTTCATTTTCTTCATATTTTGTTTAAATACAACACTTCTAATATAAATGTAACAAATATAAATAATAATAATAATATAAATATAATAATAATAATGTAAATATAATAATAGTAATGTAAATATAATAATAATAATATAAATATATATAATACTAATAATATTAATATTAATATATCCTTCTTAACCAGTTGGCTGTTTCTAACGAGTACACCGATCAAGAAAAAATAGCAACATTTTGTTTCCCGATTGATGTACTCGTCAAACACAGCTTGCCGGTTAAATAAAGTATGATCTGGCTGCAGCTGCCGCAAGCAACAACTAATTGATGTTACACGTTCCCATACCTTATTATATCGGCTTGAATGTTTTACAATGTTCTATGTTCTCATGGAAATATAAAAATATTCCTATCCAGAGGAAGAGACCAAATCACCGGAACGAACAAAAACACTAACAGCGCAGCTCGATCACCGCAATATCGCTCCTTCTAACGCAAATACTTTCATCTTCCCATCCGATAAATCGGCTTTGGATGTGTTCTTCGAACACCTATTTACCTCGAATCTCGCAACCTCGCGAGCACCTTAAATTTTTCAGCGTGGAAACACAACGACGAAACTTCGATGTACATACACCACGGAGAGACAGCAAGCCTCTGAACATTCTGAGAGATTCTACCAACTTTTCCCTCTCCGGTGTACATATCGGTGAACACCTAAGCCGCGTACGCTGCACGGTGCACGTTGAAAATTGTTCAAAATCGCGTGTTTCTGATTGCAGTACGTTACCGGAGGAAACGCCGGCGGCCAGGCCAGCAGCGTGAGCTACAGCAGCGTGAGCCAAAGCAGCGACGGCGGTGCCGGAAGTGGGCTTCCAAGCGGCGGGATGTGACGATACACGGGGGCCCGGCCCGGGCCTCGTCGAGATCGAGCGATTCGTTTCCGGGACACGTGATTATAGGCCAGCTGCCAGGGCACCGTGCCGAGGGGCCTTCGGGACGCCTCGGGCCGGAACACGAAAGCTCCACGGCGTCCCGGGAGACGCGCGAGGAAGACGAGCACAGCCCACCGGAGCCCCGCCGCGAGCAAGAAGGGCCCGTCGCGGAAGGTTCGCGACGAACCCGTCCGTTTCCCGTCGCCGGGTTTACGGGACAACATGTGGACCACGATGAAACCACAGAGAAGCCTCCCCCTTGTATATAGCGTTTTGTATCACCGACGAATGAGCCAGCGAGCGAAGCCGAACTCGCTCGCCACCGTTTTTACGTTCCGGTACCTTCGGTATTCCGTAGCCTTAGCGAACCTACCGAATCGTTGATCGAACGTGTCCCGCGTGTCTTCGGGGATGCTGCGTGCCCCTTCTTCTAGTCGCGATTCTCACGGAGGAAGATCTCGCGCGATTTCATGCGTCCAATGATTTGTGGAAAATCGGTTTCCAAACTATCGGTTGTTCGGTAAAATGTTAGGGTTTGTTCGTGGGGGGGACATCTTATAATGGACAACAATTGTAACAGCATGTACGATAGCTTATGTAAAGTACGTGTTTTCATTTCAATTCAGTCATGGTGTAGCGGAGTAATAGTAGTCTAGATAGAATCGTGGCCAGACAAAGTGGAACAACGGCGAGGTGTATGTACAGTGCCGGACAAAATGATAGGACGTTTGCCATTTCTGAATGTTTCGCATAATATAATAAAGTATGCGTACATTTTACATACCTTATGTATTAGATATGTTCTTAGAGATGTGCGCATAATAAACCTTGAGCTTGTGTCTCATGCGCGAAAAGAGTTAAAGAAAATAATGTAAAAATGTGCTGATTTTAATCGGGCAAAATGATAGGACATTGCTAAAAGGAAGCAATTGTTTTAAAAAAATATTTTATTGAACGCTATATTAATATTTAGTGAGGTCACCTTTTTGTTGTACATCTAATAAACGCTTAGGAATTGACTTATACAATTTTTTGATACGTTTTCGTTTTAAGAGACTACAATTTTTAATAATACTGTCTTTCAATTCTTTGACATCTTTGCATTGCACACTTAAGGTTTACTATGCTCAGTTTAGAGGACATTTCCAATATATACGGTGTGTACAATGTACATATAGTTCACTATATTATGCGAAAGATTCAAAAATATCAAACGTCCTATCATTTTGTCCGGCACTGTAGTTGGCCAAGTCTCGAATAGCCTATGATCAGACAAGTAGAACGGATGGTACGTGTGGCCAGACAAGTGGAATAGGAACGGTCTGTGATCAGGCAAGTAGAGAAGGCGCGAGATGCGGTCAGAAAGTGGGATAGGAGCGGTAAATGGTGAGATAAGTAGCTTAAGCCCACATGGTCGGACAAGTCGAATAAATAAATGTAGTGAAACATGCGTGATAGGAACGCTGCATGACCAGACAAAGGAAATGCGATGAAATCATCGATGATAACGTCGCATAGACGAAAGTGTCCATTACAGGATGTTCCTCGCAATGAAATAAATAAAAACGAAATAGCTAAGGCGGATGAAAGTGCGACAGTTACAATGCCCTACGAAATTAAGTGCTCTTTTGTTTCCGCGTAAATCCAAGGACGAAAAATAAAAACGCATTCTACAAGGAGGGAACGCAGTGTACCGAAAACTCGATGCATCGCGAATAGTTTAGTGTCTGGGCTGGCACAGTTGCGAGCGAATTTATTCAGCCTTCGACGCTTCCCTCGAACTCGAAGCAAAAGAGTCAAGACTGGCAGCACTAAAGGTATCCTCATCGACTCGTCCGGCGAATGTCCAGGAACGAATCCATTCGCCGAGCCGTTCCTCGCTTATTCACGACTAGATTAATTGTAACGTGAAACAAGTAGCAAGGCCAATGTAACTTAATCGACGGACGACGCGAACGAAGTTACACTAACGGGACCCGTACACTTTACCGTCCATTTTATGCACCCTGTATATCATTCCCTGAAAGGCAAAAGCTGTGTATTTGTTATACGTTGCGTTGCAAAAACGTTCCAACGTAACTCGATTGATTTCATTCTGCTCCGAGGATAAAATCCTGGGGAATTTTTCAAACGATGAGCTACCAAATTGTCCCCTAAAATGGGAACAATATTTCTGGTATTGCAACACCTTCTTCGAAGTTGCGAAACTTTACTGTGGAATTTCATTAATTTGATCTTTTGTCGTAAGGATAAAATCCTAGGGACATTTTATAGAATTATGAAAATATTTATCGCGTCGATGAAATCATATTATTAAGATAAAATGTAATCTTGCTAAGACGGTGAAACGCTGCGGAATTTTGCGGCAGGGTCGTAGGACGAACGGTAACGCGAACGGGGCCCGTTACTTATTAAAGAGTGCATCGTTTCAAACAGATCGATTTTAATTGTAATTATAATCGAAAGGAGATATATAAGAAGAACTCGAAACGTGATCGTCGCTATTAGTGTTTTGAGACCGACCTCTCGAATTGTGTTCCAACGACTGTCTCGCAAAAAAAAAAATCGGTTCCCGCGACTGTCGACGAATCGTTACAAGTTTGAGCGTCGCTGTTATCTCGATTATCGTAAACGGACAATCTCTACACGAAGAATGTATACTCGTCTACTTCTATAGCGGATATTTTTGCAGCAACGGTATTTTTGTTTTACGAGAATCACCCTAATCTAGACACCTTTCTCAGTGTACATAGACACCATCGCCGTGTAATTGTAAATACTAGCGAAGAACGAACACGAACGACGAGCATGCGCGAGAGTCTGCGACCGAACGTTCTATTTGATGTAACTGTTGCGCGATATAATTCTTCGATGATCAATAAATACAGTATTATCGAGCGATTACGCCACCCTGTCGTGCTATGAGTTTTGGCAATCGATCAAGATAAAACTGGGCCCTATTCGATTCGGTGAATATGGAACTTTCTGGCTGAGAACCACTGTTCGCGAAAGATTTATACGTTTACGAATAACTTTGTACCAAAACCTCCACGTCTCGCCTTTCTCATTTATCATTTGAGAGGGAAGGTAATATAAACATAACCAAGTACCGTTCAGACAAATATTCGAATTGTTTAGTTCACGTTCACTTACCTCTGGAAACACAGGATGGCTTGGACACTGTTGTGGATACCGTCATTTTTATCTTCCCTCTTAATGATCGCAGCTTCGGACAAGAATCTTCTTGGATCAGGAAGAATATAAATTGTTGACTCGCTCGAATCATGAAAATGAAGTGTACGCTATTTATTTCTGCAAGAATAACAGTTAAATAAACTTTGGTAAACGGAGGACACGAACGCTTGCAAAGTGAGGACACCATTTAAATTAAATGACGAGTGGTGCACCCTAGCGCGCGAATGGTTGACGTCTAAACAATGCTAGTCATAATAGATATTGTAAGCATCGTTAGAACTTGAGAGTCTAATAAAGAGAAGAAAAAAAAAGAGTCTAATTGTGACGGGACAAGCGAGAATATAATGTAGACGGTCCGAGAAGAAAACAATCTGTACCGCTCAAATGGAAGGAATGTAATAAAACACGGAGCGAATGTTCAGAATTTCGAACAGTGTTTTCACAGCATTTCCGGTTTAGAGGGCGCTTTGTACACACACGGGACATTCTGTCTAATTTAACCGCCTAAAACTAAATGATTCGCATTCTTTGTTTTATCTGTGTCAAACTATATGGAGGAAGGACGATGGTAAGACGATTTTATTGTAAAACGCTGTTCATAGAATGTACTTTTAGCCTGAATACACACTACTCGTAATCCAGAAAATCGATGCTACGTTAAATAGAACATTTAAGAGAAACGTAATGCAGCGTGTCCGATCCGCGTTGTATTGTATATAACGTATTAATATTATTTAATGATTATATTAATTAATATTAATATATTATAAGGAAATCAAAGAAACTTTCCTGGCCTGTACATACCGTATGAATAATATCACAGAACAGACGTCGTGGTAATTTTAATTTATAAGAAGTAGATAGCACGCGAACGTAACAGTATCATAATTCATGTACAAGAGCCACATTCTCGAGACCACTTAAGTACCTTCAAAGAAAAAAAAATGTATCTATCAATATGCTGTCCTTTCTAATAAAAGGTAAATGGAAACCCCGTGTTCTTATCTACCATGCACAATTTCCCCCAAATTACGTGAGTACAATTTAGTCGTAAAATGTGGATAAGGATAAAGTTGTTCAATATAACTAACTTTATTGATTTACATACTCTTGATACAACTCAACGTTGCTATGAATCTTTTCGTCATATTTATAGTAACTGCTTTGTCCCAGCAAACAGTTTTCATATCTATTATAGTATTTTATCACAGTAATATATCCAACATATATTACACCGTTTGTACTTTGTGTAATGCACAAAGAGTTTATACAAAATGCACATTTTTATTGTTACAAGTGTCAGGCAGTTTTGAAGATGGATTAAATTATTCCAATATCCTTGTAGAGAACTTGTTTTGTCACTAGTTTTATGATCAATGGAACTATTTATGAAATTAGGTGAAAGATGATGCCCCTGACACATATGATTACACTGATTGAAAGTCATGACTAATTAATGATCTTTTGTGTCTTAAATAAATATTTTAATCAATTATTATATGTATATATACACATATGTATATGCATATACATACGGACCACAGTTACATTTATATCATACATTTCGTATAACAAGTGCACTGCCATTGACACGATTTAAAACAGGTTCCGAGTTTTTCTTTGGTGCGCATGAATCGACGTTATATACACAATACACAGTTGGCAGGAAATGCAAGAAAGTAAAGATTATTGGCGAGAATTTTACCATCTAATATATCGTTTGTACTCCTCGTTTATACTGAATCTTTTGATCGTTTCGTATCCTAAAATTATCGAGAAACTAAAACAGGCAGACTGTACGAGTCGCGCCGATAGTCCTTTCGTGAACATCTGGAATCTTTCTTCGACCCAAAGAACCTTGCATGCGCTTAACATACTGTCTAGTCTTTGCACTTGTAGTCTTGCTCTAACAATATCTAAAGGATTTGTAACAATCGTGGTAGTGAATCCTCCCAATGTTCCAGCTACTGCTTGAATGAATAAGTGAGAGACCCATTCAGGGAATAATCGGAAAAGTTCCTCTGTGAGAGAAATACATCGAGTTATTAACCCATGAGATCCTATATCTTGTTTCACAATGCCTTCTATATCTAATTACCTTGATAAGATATATAAAGTCCCCACCAAAGCGCACTGTTTGGAACATAAGCGCACAATGATGCAAGGTATCCCCGATAAAAACCTCTATATCCGTCGTTTCGATAAATCAACCTAACTATATCAGCTGAGATCTGAGCATGGGACTTCCCTGGTTCTAATGACAATCCTAATGGATTCATTCCCATCTGTAAATAATTGAAATAAACAAACAAGTGGAAGACATCGGTTCCTCTCTTTCTGCACTTACTTTGTCCATATGATAGTTGGCCCTTTTCGAGCTGTTGATCCCAAGAACCATCAAGTGTTGGCTCAGAATATCAAAGGGAACTACTATTGTTTGTCCTACCACGCTAGCAGCACCACCAGCAATGACTGCTTTAACTCTAGAGTCTATATGACCTATAATATCTTCTTGACCAAGTAAATGACGCACACCTTCGTAAGTCGATACATAAAAGACGCTGGATACAATTTGTATCGAACTAATCCAGAATCCTCTATAAAAACCAGCTGCGCCTTCAGCTTTGTAAATCTTTTTGTAAGCATCTATCATTCCTGTAGAAAATCAGTAATGAGAAATAGCACTTGAATATAATTGAAAGTATATTTTAGAAAACTTACCAGCGTACATATGATTGTGCCTTTGAACTTGTAAACGTGTTTTGATTACTGTTAAGGGATATAAGCAACAACGCACTGAGAACGACGAGAGCATGCTCAGTGGAAAGAACTTTGTCTTGTCCATCATATCCCATTCGATGGTACGAATGAACTGTGGTGCCTCTACCGCAGTCATTGCCTGGATATATATCAATACCTGTTCCAATAATGTTGCAATATTCAAACGCTAACGTTTCTGGGAGTTTATGTTCAACCTGATGCTGCATATCTCATCAATATTTTTCATGGATTTAACACCCAAATCTTTTACGTAACTGATAAAAAAAACGGAGACATGTACATGTGACTATGATAAGGCTCAAGAGACTTATTCAAGAAAACAATACGCACATACGTGACAAATTGACTGCGTAAACATGGGCAGATTAATAGACTGCATGTTACAATAATAGATCGAGTGCATTTTTGACACAAACACGGGTCGCCGTGTATATACATGTACATATACACGTGCCAGGTATATGTCATCCACTAAAACGACGAAGATGTTGAAGAAATTCAATTCGCAATTACAAATATCATTTGATGAAACATGGCCATTGATTGCAACATTGTTCGTACATCAAAATTCGTGGCACATCATGGGCCAATTTCAAGATCTACATACATAGCAATTTCGCGAAGGTCACTATTAGTCGAGGTGTCAATAAGATGCACTCGGTCGTCGACATCCGATAATCGGACGAGTAAACTGCGAACACTTACGGTGATGCAATACACTGACACAATCATGAATTTTTTCCAGCTCGTGCAAAGTGTCCATGGATGATTCCACGTTGTACTTGGGTCAGATTAATTTTTCTCGGACGATATTATGAATGTAACGTTGAGTGACCCAATCTCATATTGCACGGCGAATAATCAGTCTTCGTTTCATTCAACAACCGCGGGAAATCGTGCTACTATTATTACGAGAATCCCATGCCAGCAAAACAGCAGAAGCCACGAGAAAGGATGATCTGGATTTTTACGATAACCATACACGCGTATATATCAAGCAGAAAATGCAAACGGTAGCGGAACCTTTCGGTGAATGGACGAATTACGATTATGAACGACTAGGTTCGAGTTCGAGAGATATCGCCTGCGCGCGCGCGCGCGTGACATCTACTTTACCTGCGCCACTCTACTTTACCCAGTTATGTAAAAGTTGATCACATTCTTTAATCTAATTTCATTTAGTTGATTTCATTTGTTTATGAGATCACAGAGATTTCGGCTATGAAAATAATGTTTTGGATTGATTAGTAAATTGATTAGTTGAATTAATTTTATCTGTGAAATTTAAGATAATATTTTATTTTATGCATCAGATTTTAAAAATGAAGATGTTTTAATTTATACAACAGATTATCGAAATAAAACTATCTTTCAGCATTAAATTATTGAAATAAAATTAATTTGATCTATGTATTTATCTATCAGCTGACTAAAATAAAAATACTTTATTTAGTAAAATCACAAACGACGTATCTTTTTATTAATTACATCTGGGGTCTAATGATAAATATAACGTAATATGAATGAGCTATATATGGAATACTCGATTCTCATTGAGAAGTTTAAATTTCCTAAATATTGGTAACGATGATCGCGACACAGGGATGATAATATGACTTCTGAAGCTCCATTATTTGGTGACAAAATAATACATTAGGTGTTAAACCTACCTCTATACCTCGTCTGTGTTATCAGGCATATCTCCAGTTGGTAACTTATCAACTACTGGAAAAATGTCCAATGGTCATCGAAAACCACCTTTAGAGTGCGCAACCCCAGGATACAACCCCCAACGATCCATAAAACTACCCTTCCCTCGCTCTCCAACAAACATTCATTCAAAACTACATTGTCATAAGGCATCAGCATATCAGAATCTTATAAAATGATTACCAGCAATTCTACAAAACAGAATCCACCCCTAACAGTGCCAAACACCTTCTCGTTAGTCTCAGAATTAGATTGCAATTCATAAAATCGATAAAATTTACAGGTATAAATCCATTCTTGGAGACGAAATCCCACTCTTCCCATGAACAGTCGACTGCACGTGCAATACAGATCATACTTGAGCGTGAGGAACGCGATTCGCAAGATTATCAGAAAAGCTCGACGAGGAGTGGAGGTTTCGTAGATGTTCTGGAAGCAGGGGTAGCTTCGCAGGATGAGAGAAGGTCACCAATGATTTCGAGGCTCCGCCTACCAAGCAGGGGATGGTAGCAACCCCCTAGTTGCGGGTAGTCCGCGCAGACCCGCTTTCTATATCACGTTGTGGGCGTAGACGTACCGTAGACACAACCCCCTGATGCATATACCCTGTCTTTTCACCGTTCACCGAGATCAAATCACTCGTCTCAGTCCTATCTTTGATCTTGCCGGTGCAGCAACGTGACCTCGAAAACACGAGCGACGGCTCGTCCATTTCCGTCGGATTGTCGGTATTGTAATCGTGTGTCGGGTCTTGGTGACAACTATTCGAAAAGGAAAACGAAAACATCGCGGAAGCTGCGGGCGACGAGGATGAATCAGGATCAAGAGGTGCCCGCCGCAGCTACGGACTTGGCCAGACTGGTGAGTGAAAGACCAATCTTTAAAATCTCATGACAATTGATAGACTGAGTCACTAATAATCTCTATTTTGACGGAGCAATTTTTTATTTATACAATAACATAGACGACAATTTTATTGCAACTTTCTTTATTGTTTGCATTGTCTTGTTGGCATTCATCGAGGTGCTGGATTACGTTTGAGAGGACAAATGCATCTTTGTAAATTGTTCCCAGAAATGGCAATTATTTGTGACTCGATTTAATCATTTCAACACTGTGACTTTTGGTAATAAGATTTTTGAAAATTGTACTAGGTCATGTATCGCTTTCTTTTACATAATAATCCTGAAATAAGCTACTAGATTAAATTAGTGCAAGTTACCTGTTGATTCACAATTGAAACAATTACCAGTAAGATGTGCATTAATTTAACGATGTTCAAGAATTCAGAGAAGCTAATTAAACCAATGTGAAACAATTGTACATCTATAACATTTAAAATTTACAAGTAACTATAAATTGTAACTGATATTAGTTCACGTTAAAGTGATCTCATAAATACATAATTGGTGTCATGAAATTAGCAATGCATAATGCAACACTTAGAACGTTCATCATTTAACAAACTTCTGAAAAATCATATACTGTATAAAATAATGGTCGAAACCATCTAATTATTGTCGAATGCGCTTTCACACCCGCACCAATTTTGCCCACTAAATCGAGTCGCCACCGTTCCCGGCTAATTGAACCAAGAGTCACGACTGCTTCCGAGAACCACCCCCGTGAAAAATTGCCCGTACATAAGCCGTGTTCGATACCGCGTTTCCGGTCGCCGAGCAAGCCACTCAAGGACACAATGGAGTCATAAGCGTGGACAGTAGCGATCGGCGTGGTCGATCGCATATAATGCAGTGTTCTCGCGATGATCCTCGAGTGTCGAATTGCCGTGGCACGCGCCACCACGGTCCGATGGATGGTCCCACGGGTGCCACCCCTTTTGTGCCCTCTAAACACGTAATTGTCGCCACCATTCAACCCTCCTGGTCCCCTCAACGGGACCCGGAACACCACCGTTCGCAGCGATACACGGGATCCGTGGGTGGTCGACGGGGCACCCCATAGCAAACGGCGAAAAGGGGGGGGGGGCGACTGGTCTCGCGTCGCGGAAACACTTGATTTATGTTTGTTGATTCTAAAAATCACTCGATTCCCACACACCCGCCCCGTGCCCGGTACGGTGGTTAATTGACTGCCCCACGCTCGCGGGAACATATGCTGCCACTCGAGGTTCCCATGATTGCCGAACCCCTCGATTAAGGGCGCGTGTTACACCGTGAACATTTACCTGGACGGGTCCCCGACGATCCAACAACTGGTCCGACACGGAACTGTAACAGGAGAAGCCGTAGCAATCGTGCCATTTATTCTTGAAACGATTCGTTCCCGACTCGCATCGACACCTCAATAATACTTTGTAATTTCAAGCTCTCGAAACTAATGATAACTTCATGTATCATCTTAAAGCTTTTGGTACGTAATGTGTGGACGGGTCAGAAGCCAATCAGTCCAAGTCCATTCCTTTTTTTAAATGAGTTACTCGGAGCACACACATATTTATTGTAAGATCTTTCGATAAATCGGTATAGTGAATTTCTTCGTAAATAAACAATATACATATATCAACGCTTATATCGACTACGGAAAGATTAAACAAAATTGTTCAGAGAAAGTTTTTTCTAAGAAAATATTAACGTTTTTCTTTTGTTTCTCTTCTGGTTAAATTCATCTGTACGTCATCTTACAATAAAAATTGTGTTTTGCTTTATTGCTAGTGTCGATATATTTTTTCAATTAATTTGCAAAATCCTTTTCATTTTAAAAATTTTCAAAATCCTTTCCCTTCATTTTAAGATTAACGAACTTGCGCTGACAATGTTGATCTATTAGAAATCCGAAAAACTGAACTTCTCTTCCCAATGAAATTAGGCGTCGGAAAACCCCAAGACTACGGCGTAGCCAATCAGTTCATAATGCCGTGACATGCTTCACACGTTCCTCGGGATGAAAATTCCCGTATTTTCACATTCTAGACAGCGTAAAACCTTTTACTCCTTCCCGTTCGCGTGACAAACGAGACTTTGCCACCTCCGTGGCGTTAAACCTAACAGATTCGTCAAAGACAAGTCCAGTCCATCGACGAGCAACGCGTTTTCGATGAAACACGATTGAACAACGTGGTAGCGTCGTCCCGCAGGGGTGAAGATGCTCGGCAACTTTTTTGGACAGCGGCGAGAGCAATTAGCAGATAGAGTCTGGTTCGGCAGCACGCTGTGATCATGAGCGTCGTCCTGTTACCTCGCATTGTTCGCGTTCCGACCTGACGAAACCGTCATTGTGTTCGCACCCTCTTGCCGGGCTGCGACGGAAAGAAAAAAAGAAAAGGGAAGGGAGAAGCTTTCTCGAAGTGGCAACGCCTTCTCCTCCTAATTGATAAAATTGGACGACGACGAAGATTGGATCGTTAATGAATAGCTCCGTCATCTCTTTCGTCATATTTTGGTCAAGCTTGACGCTTCTCCGGTCTACGCGAGTACGCGCGCGATCGGGAAATGGGCATCGTTTATGTATTCAGAGTCTCGGTAATCCGTTCTCGAGTGTATCGCAACGAAAAGTCGAGATCCGCCGACGGTTAGGGGAATCTGTTTGGAACGTGTTGTCTGCTCGATGACTTTATTATAAACCGAACCGAAGTGCGCAATTACGAGGGTGGCGTTCGAAGGGAATTGGGGTGACGACCCCTCGCAGCATCATCGGGAACGATGGGGCGGTTCCCCCTCCCCCGCACCCGGGACGGTTCATGGGTATCTCGTTTTTACTAGGTATGCACGAATGTTGCCCGTTTGTTTGCTCGTACGCGAAACGCGTGCCCCGTGTACACGGTCCGCTTTGCCGACGCGTCTTTTGCACGGGAACGATGGGAAAGGTCAGGGGAGAAACGGAGACAGAGAGAAGGAAGGGACCAGGAAAAGCGAGCCGGCACGCGACCATGTTTGCGCGTTTACCTTACGAGTCGTTGCCTCGGGTACGCACTCGATTAACTTCTGATCGCTGAAATTACGGCCCGCTGCGATCCAGGATCCGATTGAAATCGTCTCAGGCCTCCGCGAATTTTCGATACCAGATCATTTTTTACCAGATACATTAGCAAACCAGTGGAAGTCAACCGACTCGTGTTCAAGGGATGAAACTACCTAAATATTGCTCTGTTGTTATCATTTTTTCTATGAAGAATATTATTAATTTTTGTATACGTAGCGACTGGAGTTTTTATGGACGAGACTACCACTTTCTACACTTTGAACCCTTAACCAGGTTAACCCTCAACTGACTCGTCTTTAAGGGATGAAACTACTTAAATATTGCTCTGTTGTTACCATTTTTTAATGAAGAATATTATTAATTTTTGTATACGCGGCGACTGGAGTTTTTATGGACGTGACTATTACTTTCTACACTTTGAATCCTTAACCGGATCATGGTGGCCGCAGCCACCCTGTGCAACTTCCCTCGTGCAGTTATCATTAATGTACGGTCATATGATTATTTAAAAATTCACGTAATCCTCTATTAACTCATCAAGTTTGCAACGTTTCACCGAAACAATAAATGGCAATAACTGATAATCCGGTTGAGGATTAAAACAACGAACGAAGATAAGTGATTCACGGGAAAGTTACGTTGAAGACGTGTGTCCATACGCCGGCAACGATGACTGAATTGGTTATATGTATATGCGGCGTGACTCGGTTACTTTAATCGCGAGGTTCGGCAGGCGTTTTTCAGGTTCATTTAACGCTGTCGTTCTCCGGTGAACGACGTCTCATATCGGGTTGGCGGGATTAAAGATTGAACGTAATATCGGGGAATGTAATTAAAATTTATATCAGAGAGAGAGAGAGAGAGAGAGAGAGAGAGAGAGAGAGAGGGAGGGGCAGAGGAGGGGAGCGTAGCTTGTGGATTACGAGTGCCGAGCCACCGCGGGGACTAATTATAAATGACTATTAATTGCAATCAGAAGAGGAACCAGGGACGAAGCAATGAACGTAAGACCAAGCCGCGAAAAAAGGAAGTCGATTACGTCTTCATAAACGATAATATCCTGTCGAATTAATCGCGAGAGAAAAACTGTCGATAAAGCGATTCAAAAAGAGGCCACATAGATTTCAATTAACGACTCTCTTTGGCGATTCTTTTTATTTCGGACGGTTTACGGTTCCGCCGTGGGAAGCGTATATCGGGCTTTCACCGGATTATTGTCGGTTTTTGTCTTTTTCTCCAGGAATTTCAAAGTGTAAGCGATCAGCGCAAGCCGCAGAAGCGAAACTTCATAAAGGAGAAGCAGACGGCGACACGGCGTTATTGGAATTTCCAAAACCGGTAACCGGCTTTACCACTAGATTGCCCCGCAAGGAGGAAACCATCCAATCGTTCACCGGATGTCCTCCTTGCCTCCTCGCGCTGGCTCTCGCTCTTCTTCTTCCTCATTGTGCCGCTTTCACTCGCGAACACCAGCTCTCTCTCTCCTCGCCTGAGTCCGTTCTGCACCCGAGTCGCCATGTTCGTTTTCGTCCTCCTTGCGGTTCTACATCAATTTCGTCACGATTGTCTCCCCCTTTTTATTTTCCGGAGGCCTAAAAGGCCGAATCACTCTTCTTCATCGGGAAACTATTCGTCCCGCGACGATTCTCATCGAACCTCGTTCCTCCGTCGTCGGTGAAAATAGCGCAGATAGCGCGATCGATCCCCTGACAAACAGATCCTCTTCAATTTCGCAAACCGCTATCAACTCGCCGCGAATGAAGCCAACCGAACACTTGGGTCTCTAATTCGTAGCTCGGAAAATTTTACCAGCAACCGAAAAACCCGGTTTCTCTTCTGCACGCTTGCAAAACCGTATCTCAAATATGCGTCGACGATATGCGTCTACTAAATTTCAAAATGAAATAATGTGCGACGCATTGAACATTTTATTTACAACAGGACAGAACACGATACAAACAGTCTGACGGTTTAATTTCAAGTGCAGAGAAAGAATTTGAAGACTGTGCGATCACATTGTCGCGTCGGTCATCATAGATGATTAAAATTGGACTAGAATTCGTAAAATTCGTCTCTCTTCGCTCGATGAAAGTAACTTTGGCGTCCCAACGAAATATATACACGGAGGGAAAAATATCGAGTTTCGTTATATTTTCTAAAAACAGCAATATTTAGGAGTGCGCCATTTTTTTTATCGCGGACTGTATTAAATACTCTCATTACCGGACTGTAGTCACTCTGGATTTTATTGCGTCCTCAACTGTCTCATTTAAGCGTAAGGTAACGAAACATTTTCATTGATATCTTTTTTACCTAACGAGTGAGATTCGCCATACTTAAATTTATGAATTCCTTAATATATTAATGAGTTGCAAATAGAGTAATCGATTCTCTGACGATCGACAAAGCTTTCGTTACCCGGTGACTGCGACAGAAGTTTTCGCGGTCCATCCAGTGTAGCCAGACGTTCATTAGCGATTTAATAATTTCCACGAATGAAGGTGATTAATAATTCCGGACGCGGCAGACCGCACCGATACCGCCGCGTTTTATTATTGCAACAGGTTCGGATCGCCGCGAAAGAACGACATCGACAATCTTGTTATCGGAATCGAATACACGCGTGGCAATTTCTGTATCCGGGAAGAAAACACGCGAATGCTTTCGGAAAATTAAAAATCAAGATAAACACAAATTTCCGCGGTTTATTCGTAATAGGACCAGAAATCTCGAATGAAATTACGAATGCGAGCCTGGTGTCGGGACTGCGTCGGAAGCGAAAAATCGAACGAAGAGTCTAAAAAATACAATTGTATGTTTTCAGTCTGGTGAAGAGTTCAGCAGACTCAGTGAACCGCTTCAAACGGTGGCCGCGGGTTACTGTCCCACAGATTATTCGGTGACCCAGACGACCAGCGAAGAAAAACTACATTCTGGTAAGTTGCCTGGTTTAATTCTCATTTAACTGCATCGGAAATATTTCAATCATACATATATCTCGTAAATATGCCGTAAAATATTTCGTCAAAATGAATAATTAACAAGGGAAAAACGATTTTTGTTATTACTTCAAGCGTTATTCATTTTATTTATTACATTATTATATATTATATTATATTATTATATTATTATATATTATATTATATTATTATATTATGTTATCATTATTATTTTATTTATTATATCAATATAACTTCCCGCTACGAAAAAAATAATCCCCATTGTGAAATGAGTTGAACAAACGTTAATTCCCGGTTAACAGGTTAGCCAACGCCTGTCACATTATAACGACAAGAACAGCGCGTTTTAGGCTCAGAGGAGTCCAAATGGCCCGGTATCAGTCAACTTAGGGTAAAAGTCACTGCGAGCCCGGTTAGATCAACTTGAAATTANAAATATGCCGTAAAATATTTCGTCAAAATGAATAATTAACAAGGGAAAAACGATTTTTGTTATTACTTCAAGCGTTATTCATTTTATTTATTACATTATTATATATTATATTATATTATTATATTATTATATATTATATTATATTATTATATTATTATATTATTATATATTATATTATATTATATATTATATTATATTATATTATATTATATATTATATTATATTATTATATTATGTTATCATTATTATTTTATTTATTATATCAATATAACTTCCCGCTACGAAAAAAATAATCCCCATTGTGAAATGAGTTGAACAAACGTTAATTCCCGGTTAACAGGTTAGCCAACGCCTGTCACATTATAACGACAAGAACAGCGCGTTTTAGGCTCAGAGGAGTCCAAATGGCCCGGTATCAGTCAACTTAGGGTAAAAGTCACTGCGAGCCCGGTTAGATCAACTTGAAATTACTAGCGGCCCGAGTTCTATCGCGGGATCGAGCAGAGTCGCGAAGGGCGGTCCGTTCAGACCGCCATCCCCCAGCTCGGCACGATTTTGAAGTTCTTTGATACGACGTAACCCCGGAATGTCGAGACTTCGGCGTCTTGGGCTTCTTCTCCTATAAACACGCACACATGTCGCACACGAAGACGAATCCAGGGAGAGCGAGAGAGAGAGAGGGAGAGAAAGAGGGAGGAAGACGCACACCCGCTTTGGAGCACGTGCAGGATGTACGCGAACTACGTACAACGGGGGCGAAGAGAGAACCACCCCCTGAAGAGAGGCTGTCAACGGCAGGCAACCAGTCGAGTCAATATCTTTATATAGTCGCATCAAGGACGATATTATTTTCTGGTGCAATTACGTTTCGAGACGATCCCAGAGCCTCGAAAATCGTCGACGAATTCTCGACCTCGTTCTCCTTTGATGAAACTGAAACCGAGGCCTCTATCGTGCCAGATGTTGAAACAATTGAACCTTGTCAGCTTCGCTGATCCCGGTGCTGCGATTACAGCAGATCTTTGCAATTCGTTGCAATTTTTCCAGATGAATCGTCTAACTTGACTAGATCTTTTTTTGGTTAATTTTTAAGATATCTGCGTCTAGGTTACTTGTGTACAATTGATCCTTTAATTCTATGCAGTACTATACATGCACAGTAAATTCTCTCGAATTGTCCCACAGCTTGTAAACAAAAATGGACAATTTCGGAAGCGGAGATACGATTGCTCGAGTCTGGCGGCTCGATTTTTATAGTCGTCGATTCGAGCTACAATGCCCGAATCTTCTCTCCCAAATTGTCCATTTTTGTTTACAAGCTGAGAGACAATTGAAGAGAATTTACTGTACTAAAATAATTAGAATAGTGCCACACAAATAATTAGAATGTCGAACACATGTCGTCAGAGATTGACTTTTCCGCTATTTGAACATCAAAGAACTTGTTGAATCGGAAGAATTAAATTCTTCTTACATCGATGCTACGATGCGCATACGTTGTAGCAAGTTCCGAAATGAAAGAGAGAGAAAGAGAGAGGCAACAGTTTGACCACTCCAGGGGTTAATTCGATGAAAAGTTAGCGGTTGTCCCGGTCGTCTCGATTTCGTACTTGAGTCAGCCTTGACCCAGAAATCCGTCGGCACGGCGAGAAGCCTCGAGGCCGAATTCAATAAGCAACGTATTATCGCCGCAAAGAGCCCCATGGGGTAGTCGATGCCGGCTGTGTACCACCCCGGAGGACTCGCGCGCCACCCCATAGCCGGCGTCTGAGCACGGTGATTGACACTTTATATCTAACATTGGCATGCCGTGGTGTGAACCACCAGCCAGGATGGACCGCCTCCACCTAACTCAATCACAGCCTATAATGCTGCAATTTCTCTATCGTAATCGCGTTACGCCCTACCACCGACTGCACCCCAGCAGCTCCACGTTCCTCGACGTCGACGTCGTCGGCGGCGACGACGACGACGACTCGCCGTCAAGAAATATCGAAACGCCGTTAGAATCGGTCTGAACGAAAACAACCCTCCTGATACCACCTTTCCGATGGCCTCATAATCGACCTTTCCTCGTTCCTGGCGAGAAAATCAATTCCAGGGGAAAAGGTTTCGACGGATTCACACCTGTCGTTGCTAAACGTAGGCGGCATTAGGGTTGTTTGGGAATAGTTAAAAATAACCTGGATTTCGTTCACCCTCGGACACACTGTTCCAGTGAATCATTCTTCGAAATCTACAGACAGCGGATTCTATGCATTCGTGACAAAACAGATCAGAAGTGAGGCAGAGAAATCATTTCAATAATTTGAAAGTACTGTTGCACTATTTTTAGTTAATTACAATTATTTAAACGGATGCCTATGAAGCTCCTGTATCTCGCAACGCGCGCACAACAATGTTTATTTTCCATGAATGTCGCAGTTACATGCGATCAACTGTTCAAGAATTTCCTTAGTTAGTTGTTTCAATTTTGTTCGAGCTAAAAATTCACAGTTTTGTTGGCTATTTTGTAAAACTCATGACCAATATTGACTTCTGTTAATATACAAAAATGTACAGTAAATTCTTTCTAATTGACGCTCAAATGCTACTCGTTTTTATAGCTACCGATTGCCGACAACTATAAAAACGAGCCGCAAAGCTCGAATAATCGTATCTTCTCTCTCCAAATTGTCCATTTTTTGTGGGCAATCTGAGCGTCAATTAAGCAGAATTTACTGCATATGCGATGGATGCCGATACACAATTTATTGTGCATAATGTACACCCCCGTCCATAAGTATATGGACATTGACCACTTTTAATGAACAAGTGATATACAATATGAATTAATGGAAAAACAAAGTGTCCACATACTTATATGCATGTCAATATATAACAATGTACACATGTCCGATTTTTAATTCTTCCATGAGTGCATAAACATCTGCAGATAACTGCTTGCTTAAAATACTCATTACATTGTTCGACGATGTTACTCGTCCACATTCTACAGACTTTATGCACTCGTGGCATTGTTGTTTTTATTGCAATTGTGTCGCAACGTATCGTCTTTAGAGAGGTCCGCGTGAAGCACCGGGCTCCGGCGAACGTACCCCAACAAGTTAGTGCAACACGATCGGCTAGTTAGAGTGGTAATCTGGCCTCGCATAGTGGGAGACTTTATTATCCAGGAGGCTAAGTAAATTCGATTCGTCAGACGAAACTGTGACTGCGAACAAAACGAGGTTACTGACAAGTGGCTACCCGTGGCGAATCCTAGAGGCCCATTAAACGGACCCCATGCAGCACGCACAGATATTTCTGTCGCGGTCTCTTCATTCTGGAAGGGGTTGTTTTCGTCACTGAATCATCCCCCTACTTTCCTCTTTTGTTACATCTTAGCGCCGCGATCGGCTCTTTATCACACCCTTGAGACCATCGTCTTTCATCGCGGCATAATGACGCAGAAATAATTTCGCGTGTCATAGGGCGCGTTCTACGGCTTGATTTACTATTGTTTCGCCCTAGTATTAATTATTGGTCGGCTGGAATGGCTCGAGAATGCTATCGGAAATATAGGCATTGTTATTTGATTTAATATTGTTTCGCCCCAGAATTGGACGAAAGTGTACAGTGATTTGGAAAAATCGTGGAAGTAATTTAATACCAAATTACAACGACTGATTTTAGTCATTATAAGTTAATAATTAGTTATTATATTATATTATTATATATTATTATCATATATATTATTGTGTATATTATTATATTATTATTTTATATATTATATATTATTATTATATATATTATTATACAATATTATTATATTATTATATATTATTAATCGAGATAATTATATATATATATATATATTCAAAATATGGACAGTATAAAGAGCAACTCGGCTCGGGGTTCTTTCGCCCGAAATTAATTATTACGGGCAAAGCGGTTAATTATTTGAGAGGATTGGAAATACAGACGCTGTTGTTTCCTGTACAATTTATTATCGTGGAAAGTATGGGATTTCGAGCACGCGCGCGATATTACAAAATTAAATAAATTACTGTAACGTGTAAATACTTGCTCGGAATTAATTCCAGGCAATATCTACTTTCTAGTGTCGTTTCGGGTCGATGATGACTCACGGAACGGATGTTCACGGCGGAGCAATCATGCAACAATGTAAATAGGTGGGATTAATTTCGCGGCGGGATAATTATCGCCCAGTAACCATTAATCATTATGCGGTGCGCGCAAATTCGCGGTCCGCCATTTAATTTCTTGTCGACCTAAGAAAACTGACGTTGCGCGATCACGAAATTATTATAAATCGCATCTGCTCCGGTTCCAATCTTTAATCTATTCGCCGAAAGTGTTCTTATCGACACGATTGCGCCCGTTTACGATAACAGACGTTAACTAGACGCCGCTAGATCTATTTATGTGACGAAATTGAGAAACTATTCTCACGTATGCGACAATTGCTTCATATTAGGTTGACAAGGATGAAATTTGTAGTTAATAATATTGCCAACTTTAACAATTTATTATTTGACATTGGCTTAATATCTTACCGTTCTGTTTTTTTGGAAAGTTATAAACAAATCTCGCTTTTTTAAAGAAATTATCTTAAGCTCTAAAGAATATTGAAAACTTTTTAAAAAATTAATTTTGATGAAAATGAAACGGTCGAAAATTCGCACTATTATGAAGTATGAGTTCTTAAGTGGAACTACGAAATAGACGCGTGAAACATTAATAGTGTATTTGGCTCTAGTGTAACTGAACAGCAGACAGTATCAAATTGATTCGCCAAATTTCGTACAGGTTATTTTGACCTCGCAAATGAACCACGCGGTTGCTCAGAATCAAAGGTTATCACACCTGTCTAGCGCAGGTGAGATCCGTTATGATTTTATGAAACCTGGCTCACCGATCACAACAGAAATATACTGCAACCAACTGGACGAAATGATGCAAAAGCTTAAAGAAAAACAACCTAGATTGGTCAACAAATCGACTCCCATTTTATTGCATGATAACGTTAGATTGCACACTGCACAAACGATTGTGACAAAACTACAGGAATTGAAGTTGGAACTTCTTCATCATCCTCCATACTCATCAGACCTAGCCCCCACTGTCTATCGCTTCTTCCACAATTTGAACAATTTTTTAATAGGAAAACAATTTAATTCCGACAATGCTGTAAAACTGGTCTGCCAGGAATTCATTGACTCTCGTCCGCCAGGGTTTTATATCACCGGCCTGAACACCCTGCCGCTTAAATGGCAAAAGTGCATAGACAATAAGGGTGCATACTTCGATAAATAAAATAATTCCTCGTATTTGTAAGTTATGAAGCAACTTTATCTTCTTTTCTACAAATTTCATACTTGACGACCTGATATAAATGTTCGTTTACGCAAAATCCAGGCGAATGTTGCATCGGAACGGACGTTTAAAACGACGTAATTTTCGTTTCAGAGAACGGAATATACTCCGCGCAGGAATACAGGCAAGAACCCTGGCTGCAAGATGGTGAGTAGCGTTCGTTAGAAATAAACGTATTAGCTTTGCAATTGAACGTGAAATTGTAGCCTCGATGGTCGATAATTATTGACATAGTTCCGAGACCAATCATACCGACTGCCTGGATAGCTCAGTCGGTAGAGCATTAGACTTTTAATCTAAGGGTCCAGGGTTCGAGTCCCTGTTCGGGCGGGTATTTTTTTTTCTTTTCGATCATTTCACCATAATTTCCTTTTCTCCGCTGAAGCGATCGAGCGCCTTTTCGCAATTTCGGATCCGATCAAATCGCGACGAAAATTGAAAATAACAACGGACAGAAACGTAAGAAAACATCGTCGGATGCCATGCGTAACATTAAAGCATCGTGCTTTCCGATGGGAACAAGGAGAATCCATTTCTCAGGACGTGAATTCGCCATCGGGCGATTCGTAAATCTTCCACGAGGATTAGCGTTAGCCACAGTGGCCGGCCACTATCGGGAACATTAATTTTAATTACTTCGAACTGTAATGTAATGCACGATGGATGCAATGTAATAAGAACGTTAACGGACGGGGTTGATGCCAAGGGTTGAAGAAAAATCTATTCCGACCCGGCAGGGGGAACACGGTCGATCATTAGCTAAGATCCTCTCTCGCCCATTCCGTTTAACAATGAAACGCGTTTACTTTCCGACGAAATCAACGAAGCTTGCGGCGGCTCGAACGATCACGGCAAAAAAATAACATTGCATTTCCTCTGTATTACATTACAGGTGGCAGCTGCGAAACCGAGGACAGCGAGCAATACGTGCCGGAGTACCACCGTATGTCACATCACATTTCCAAATTTTTCGAAATCGGCTCTCGCCGAACGTGTGTATCCCCGTAATGGTTTTCCACCGGAATTGCCGGATATTTTCGATTTTCGAAGCGTTCCGTCGTAACCGCTCGGGATTGGGTAATTGACGCGACCCGATTACGTTAACCAGAAACTATGTAATGCGAAGGAAGCCAATCTTCGCGAACGCGGAAACTGCACGGAAATGTCTCGCGCATGCAATTCCCCTTCAATTTCGAAAGAAATCGCAACGCTCGAACGGGAAGTTGCGAATTTCTCCGACATGTGTACGGACCGCGCCTGATTTCATATAGCAGAAGCGAAATCCGGATTCGTGGAATGCAATTTGGCGCGCGGCGCAGCTAGGATTCTTCCGAGTAAACTCGCCCCGCGCAAAACGCTGAAAGAGCTCTCGTTCCTCAACGAAAGATTTACTTTCTCGCAAATAGCGAAACGCTTTTGCAACATTGATGCTTCTGTCAGAAGTGGAGAGAAGACGTTTTTCCTTCCTTTTTTGTACACTGTTCCGTGTTTCAGCTCGTTTATCGTCTCTGCCATAGCATTTTTCTATAGTTCTCCGCGTTTACGAAGTTCTCACTTTTGAATACGCGAATAGTATCGATCGGAGTGCAGTTTTTATGCACTTGCAACAAACATCGGTTACTTTATGCTCTATTTTTCGTCCATTTACGTACACCGTATGATACTGCGTTCTTCCTTAAATTTTCTTCTTGATAAAACCACTTTTACAAGATTCTGAATACATACATTTCGTTTGCATGTGACGAATGCAGGCTTGAATCGAATTGTTTATTCAGCGAGGTGGAGTACAAATATTTTATTCGAGCTTTCTTTCGAAACTGATCTCACGGACATGTTTAAATTGAGCAATGCATTCAAACGTTGTTGTAAAATCGAATCAATTACATTCCTACTTGTATTAATTTTTTAATCGTTGCATCTAATTCAAATGTACCTTTAAATTACTGATTACCGCTGTTTAAGTTAAATCAGGCATTGAAACGTTCTTATAAAATTGAATCAGTATCATCCTTACTTGCATTAACTTCTCAATTCTCTCAGCTAATTCAAATTGCACCACTAGATTACTGAAATTCGAAGCATTAAAACGTTCTTATAAAATTGAATCAGTATCATCCTTACTTGCATTAACTTCTCAATTCTCTCAGCTAATTCAAATTGCACCACTAGATTACTGAAATTCGAAGCATTAAAACGTTCTTATAAAATCGAATCAGTGTCTGTCTCTTATACACATCTGAGAATTGAGAAGTTAATGCGAATAAGGATGATACTGATTCAATTTTATAAGAACGTTTTAAAGCTTCGAATTTCAGTAATCTAGTGGTGTAATTTGAATTAGCTGCGAGAATTGAGAAGTTAATGCGAATAAGGATGATACTGATTCAATTTTATAAGAACGTTTTAAAGCTTCGAATTTCAGTAATCTAGTGGTGCAATTTGAGATGTGTATAAGAGACAGCCACTAGATTACTGAAATTCGAAGCTTTAAAACGTTCTTATAAAATCGAATCAGTATCATCCTTACTTGCATTAACTTCTCAACTCTTGCAGTTAATTCAAATTGCACCACTAAATTACTGATATTCGGAGCATTAAAACGTTCTTATAAAATCGAATCAGTATCATCCTTACTTGCATTAACTTCTCAATCATTGTAGCTAATTTAAATTGCACTACTAGATTACTGAAATTCGAAGCATTAAAACGTTCTTATAAAATCGAATCAGTATCATCCTTACTTGCATTAACTTCTCAATCATTGTAGCTAATTTAAATTGCACTACTAGATTACTGAAATTCGAAGCATTAAAACGTTCTTATAAAATCGAATCAGTATCATCCTTATTCGCATTAACTTCTCAATTCTCGCAGCTAATTCAAATTGCACCACTAAATTACTGAAATTCGAAGCATTAAAACGTTCTTATAAAATCGAATAAATCTCAACCATACTCGTAATAACTTTGTAATTATCGTACCAAATTCAAATGTATTTCTAAATTACTGAAACTCGATGTTTCAATGAAGTTGAACACTAAGGCGTTCTCATAAAATCGATCGAATAAAATCGAATCAAATTCATCGTTCCATACGAACATTTTAGCGATCCGCTCTTATCGAGCTCGGATGTAAAAGACTCTGTTTATTATACTCGATCGTGACCTCTTTGTATGGCGTGCACAGGGAATACAGAGCGCGCGATTTTAACGATCCATGACCCTCGCATACGATTAGGTTTTATCGAGCGGCGATCGTTTCTTCGACGCGATGATCGACCGGGGTTGAAAGAGGAGGGCAGCAGGGGCGCGTGTCGTACCGGAAGTGGAAGGCGCATCGTTGCAGTGGCACGTGGGGGTGGGTCCGCATCTAATGGGGCCGCCAACGATTTTACGTGGCCGAGGGAGCGCCCCCGATAAATCAAACAGACTCCAGGCCCGTGGGAAGCATAAGTCGGAGGCCTCCGGCGATCATTGTATTTGCAAACATCGGAAGTTTACTTGCTGCCGGAGAGCACCGCCGCGTCTCGATTTCGACGAAAGAATCGTACGGATTTGTGTAATCGCTCGGACCTGATTCTACGCCGGCCTCGTCCACGTTCCTTCGATCCGCGATTATGGTAGTCGAATCATTAAACGTTACCGGGGGGAGAAATTCTGTTATAGTATGCCTAAGAACTAGGCAAACATCCTTCGTATTCGTAAATGGTTAAATTCCGCATTCGTGGGGAAACTTTGCTAATAGTAGGATTTACCGAAGTAATTTTCCTTCCTTCGATCGCTTGCAAGAATTTTGCATTTTCACTTTGTTGGATAGTTTCGATAAATTGTCGATAGTTGCACTAGTTTCGCGCGACATTTTATGTCTGCGGTTTATTGAGTCGACCGAAATCTAGTCGGTGAATTATTTTTCAGTTACGTCGATATGATTTCGAGTCTTCGTTCTTGCTATGGACATAAACTTTTCTCGATCGCTGCAGCTATCGAGATTTCGAATAATATGAAGATTTCTTTAATACGAAGATTTCGTATGTCAAACGTTGTGATCGAATATTTTCGCAATTGACGCAAGCTTTGACAGATTGATAGCATAATAAATATTATGTACATCGTTGAATTATTCTCTATCTTTACTGGCACGATCTCGGTGCTCTACTCTTGCTAAAAATTCCATATAATTTATCTTTGCGCCTCGCGTGAAAACCTTAGTTTCGAGATTTGACCCGATATCAGATCGAACTTGTCGGTTTGACCGAAGATAAAACTACGATGAGCGACAACAAATCGCGATATCGATCACCCCGAAGCGATATGAAACACCGGAACAGGCAGGAAAAAGTTGGCTATCCCATCCGGTTTACCGTTACAGTGCTGCAACTGTAACAACAACCGGTAAACAATGCTCCGAATGAAAGTTTATGGGTAAATCTGGAGCCGCGGATAAACGTATTTACCCCAGGCACGATTCGTTCCGATTGTTTGCGCGCATATTACGCACACAGAACGGGTGGAGGCGGATCGGTCTCTCTCTCTCTCTCTCTCTCTCTCTCTCTCTCTCTCTCGTGGCCGCGGAACAGCGAATAAAATCAACGGGTGATGAGTAAATTTGACCTTGTAATATTATAAACGTAACATTACAGACGTACAATATTTGATGATTCGTAATTACACGATAAATCCGTAGTTTCGCTCCTTATTTGTCGACTCGCCGGATTCGACAGAGGAAAAGAGAGAGACAGAGAGACATAGGCAGAGTGTAGGGGAGGAAGGGGGATCTTGATAATACGTCGAGGGGAATATTAATCGAGTTTCTAGGCTATTTTAAGATAGCGTGTAACCATTTTTTTGGCTCCTAAAACGAGAATAACGGAGCACAGACATTTTCTTTATTGGATTAACACACGTAGACGGCACACGCGCGCGAGGGGAGCTGTGTAAGTGAGAGCATATAGACACTATCTGTCGTTGCCTCTGGCCGTTTGCTCATCTATTCCAGGCGTATCGAAATATTTGCGGGATTCGCTGAAGCCTAGCGAAAGATTTAGCGTAATCTTCTCTCGGTGAACGTTAAATTTCCCGAACTTTCTTCATTTATTAAACCGTAAATGATACCGTTGCTGCGAGAGACGGATAATTAGACTGCAGATCTTAGAACGGAATAAAAATGTCACGTAACAGCTGCCGAAACAGTTAATCGTTTCCAGGTGATAGCAGAATTTCATAATTTTTCTAACGATGTTCGCTGGGACGTGCTCCGTCTGTCTATTTCAGATATGAATGTGTTAATTTCGTCGTCTGAAGTTAATTAAGAAATCGGCTCGCGGGGACGAGGGAAGGGGAGAAGAATCGTATCGACTTAATATAAAGTGCCTGGCCGTGTAACGCGATATCGATAATCGACGGGAATCTTCTGTTGAATCTTTCTTGCCGCTTTAAAAACATCAGCCCCGGGCGGTCCGCCGCCTTTTTTAATAAAGTCTCGATATTGATAGCGGATCGCTCCGAGGTTTCATTAACGGCTGGGGAAAGCGATTTTTCATATAGATAATAATCATAATTAGACCCCGGATTTGATGCATTTACGGCAGAATTAAGTGGACGAAGCAACTTACAAAACGTTTAAACGTTCAAGCAAACTTAGACACACTATATATAGGCCATATAAATAATATAAATAATATAAAAGCAAATTTATTTATATATATAAATAAATAAATTGGCTTTTTCCTTCTTAGAAGTTATTACAATAGAGGAATTTTTAATCCTTGTAACTATGAAGAAAATGTTACAAGGGGTTAATTAACACGTTGATTAATAGACATCCTTTTACCGAGACATATTAATTTTTTCGCAGTCCGGTAAACCGTATTTCATCGCATCTTTTGGGTCGAAAAGACTTAAACTTTGACTAACTTTAACTTTGCAATATCGATCCCGAAATTGCTTCGACCATCTGGGATTTCTGGGCGGTCGACGCCGCGTTGACAAAAACAGTGGACTGTAGATGAATTTTCAGACGCCAACGTGAAGCAAGAGTCCGCGAACTGCAGGAGGATCAGCGACGCGAGTTACGCACAGTATCAGGCTTCTGTGAGCCATCCACAAAGTAGCACCTTCTTGGACCTGGATCCAGAAAATCGCTCCACCTGCTTCGGGTAAGTATCGCTCATCGATGAATCATTTGCGTTCAGTTTTTGAACATAAAATAGAAAATGTTCGATTCTTTGTTGCACAGGGGCAATAAACTGAGTTCACGAACGAACGAGCCTACGAAAAGCGTCTCTGTGAAAGAAGAGCCTGCGGACAGGGGCTATGGGGAGCCTATTGTTACAACTATACCCACGACGACTGCTCAGGACACTCGGAACAGTGAGTTATTCGATCATTTATTTATTAAACGTACAATTGCTCGCGTCAATATTTGAAACATCCCTTTAAGATAGAATAACTTTCTAAAACTGGACTTTTTAAAAATGACTTGCATTTTTTGAACTGTTAGAGAGACTAGCTTATAAAGCAATGCCTAAAATATTTTTGTTTAAATTGCAATTGATTGAAATGAGAAAGAAAATAATAGGAAAGTGTAAAAATGTGAGTTCTTTAATTTCTTTTTTGTCATTCCAAATAATAACAAAATAAAGAGAAAATATTTCAGTCATCGTACAGTAAACCAGTCTCTTCGCCATTTAAAAAAGAATCCAAATCATTCAATTTGAAAAATGTTCTGTTTTAAAAAGTGTCCAAATATTAAAGCGAGTCGTTGTAAACATTTTTATAGTTTCGATAGTCGTAAGCTATAAAATTAGCAAAGTCCCTGCGACGCTTCAAGCATAAAAAAAATTGATGAATTTCGTTGCAAGATGATTTCTCGATCTATTAAACTGGCTCGCGGGAGACAGCGTCCACCGAGATCTCGATGCTCGACAAACCGAGCTCTGATTCAGTGATTCCCTCGTCTTAAACGTGCGCCATGACAAATCTCTTGACAATAGGTCCACGTGGCAGGGTGGTGCCCTACGCGTCCCATAAATAACTGGAGCACAGTGCTTGGTGCGCTTCCGTCCATTAATCGAACCCCGGCTCGACTCTTCTTCCGGTTTCTGTTCGCCGAACGTTTCTGTCACCGTTCCACGATTTTTTTCTCCCTCTCCGCTCATAATTAGTATATCAGCTTTCTGGGTCGGGGTACCGTATGCATAAAGCATCGCTGGCTTGATCCGACAACAAATACCGGGTTCAACGAAAACTGCCAGCGTAATCCTGGACAATATGCTCGTCGCCGGTGCACCGGACCCGCTCACGCGTGACTAAGTACACGTAAGTGAATAATTGAAGAATGCTTTCAACTCGAAAGCTACTGAGAGAAAGGGCAGAGAGGGAGGCAGAGGCAGAGAGAGAAAGAGAGAGGCTTGCAGAATCCTGCGAAAGCTGCTAAACGAAGGAAAGAGCATGGAATTCAGTCCCTGGGGAGCTGAGCAAGTCGGGCTTTCTTCGAGCTACGTTGTCGGTAGCAGAAGTAAATGTTGCCTGCAAGAAGATGGACCGATGTGCGCTACTATTAATTGTTAACACTTCGGTTAGTTAGCAACTGTTCCAAAAAGATTGAAGAAATAATAATTTTTTTAAAAGGAACTAAAAAGGTCACTTCGACTATTCTTTTAACCCTAGAAAGATAACCATATGACAACGTACGTAAAAGATAACCATACGCTTCAGAGGCGCATGCTTTTCTAAGGCGTCAATTTTATACTAACAATGGATATTTATTTAAGTTAATCTAGTCATTTTAAAGGTTTGGCATTATTGTAAAAATAAAATGCATTTATATTATATTTTTTTATATTTTAAGTAATTTTAAACTTAAATCACTAGACCTCTATGAAAAATTAACA